TTTTTTTTATTTTATATTTGCTTGATTTATTCATCGTTTTATCACCGTCGTTTCAAAATACATGTATTTTTTGCCATTCGTGCAAAGATTTTTACATTCAAGTTTTTACATAAAAGTTTTTCTCACTACCGGCATTCATTTTTAAAATTCTTTTGCCATTCGACGAGAAAAGAAATCAAAAGAATTCTCTTCAGCAATTTTATGAGCTGGAACACCTGGAATCTTCGTTTGATTTTTTCTTCTTCTTTCGTCCACGAAAGTCGCCTCAATTTCTAGCAGCTTCTTCTAGCAACGGAGGAACTCTTTTCTCGGATGTTTAAAGCGGAACGGAGAGGACAACCGGACGAGAAAGTGCCGTTAAAGTAATTACTAATCGCGGATTATGTTTCCTATTTCCGTTCCCCGTTTCAGAACCGACGTATTACTACGTTCCAGGATAAATTTCAACAATGTGTTTAGCGAATTTTTAAATTAAAATTAAAAATTAAAAATTGGTTATTCGATTCAACGTTGAAATTTTACTTCAACCGATGGAATTGTAATTGCGGTGAATATAAATTGGGGCAAAGATGGGGAGAGAAGTTCGAAACGTGAATTTATTCGAGACGCATCCGCGGTGGCACGATCAACGTTTTCAATCAGAGAGCAATCGTAAATTACGATACTTAATTAACGTAATCGGAGTACAACTTTACGAAGTTGTTCGAAACGCCACGTACACGCGGAGCCTACGCGTGTGTAGGTAGGCCGTGCTGATAACGCTTATCTAGCGCGCGCCAACCCGTGGCTGAGTTTGCATATCAATGGGAGTTCTTAAGAATAGACACTCGCGTGTCGCGTTCAACCGGCACTCACGCGCGTTAATTCGCGCGATTACAAGCTGTTGTTGACTCTCGGTCTCGCGTTTCTTTCGATCCGATTGCACGAGCGCCATTCGTAGTAGAAAGGAGCTGAGCTACGATGAAAAATCGGTGGAAATTCATTCATCGTTCGCCAACGCGTAAATTGAACCGTCAACATGATCAAACAGGGAGAAATTTTAATAATTTCGAATGATATTTTTCTACAATTTTGCACGCTCACTCGAGTCTCGATAGAATAGAATTAATTCCACACAACTTTTAACAGAATATTTAATTTTCAGTAGTTCGAATTTCACGAGCGCGTAACAAACGAACTTCCACGTCAAAAGTAGAGAACGATTTTCCCTCGTTATCGTCCGCAGGAAAAGGAAACCTTACTAGGCAAGAGCGTGGGATTATTGTTCAACGTACGTATATGGCCTCGCGGTTATTCTTAATATGACGTTGAGCACAAGAGAGAGAAAGAAAGAAGCAAGCGTTCGCGCTAATAAACAATAATGACACGTTGAACCAGTTCGTAGCGAGCATCAGAGCTCGCGTGGTAATTTGCATTTGGCCGTAATTGCGATTCAACGGCGAGCACGCCAACGTTCTCATCGAGCCAAGCTTTTGCCACCGATCGGCGCCCATTTTCCGTTCTTACGAGCCTTCTCCCCGTCTCCCAACGACATTTCAAGCGATACATTTTCATGCAAACTAACCCTGTTTGCAGCACGGATTCCTGAAAAATCTATTTCTTCCTATATCCTCTCCCAATCGGTTTACAGGAAACTTCTTGATCGATACGAAACGGAACGTAAATTCGTTAATAGGAATTTATTAGGAAAATTGCTTGTAATTTTCAATTATGACAAAGGTAAATCAATATTTCCCTCTTTTACAATAACTTAAGACTCTCTTTTCCTTCTCATACGTATTTTAATAGAATAAAGTAAATGTAAAGTAAATGTAGCAGTGTGAAATTCGGTAAGAATATTAGCGAGATATTAAAATATACAAGTAATTTTTCTACATAAATAATCAAAAATAAGTTTTCTCGAGGAATACCAATTGTAAAAGTTAGACCATAATGGAAGATCAATGTAGTTTCTAGAATGTCAAATGCAACGAAATTCAAACACGCACACATACATACGCGAGGTATTCGTTCTGGAATACCTCGAAACGAAAGAGGAAACAAAATGCACCGGTTGCCGGTCGTAAAAGATCGCTCGTGAATATGCAACGAAGCGAATGCCCCGAGAAGCGAAATGAGTAATATAGGGAAGGTATAATGAGTGGCTGATTATGATGTAAGCGGTTTATCCAAGCGTAATGATTCGGGGAGCAGATTGCAGACCGACGAATACGCCTTTACTTTCTACCTTTACACCCATTGTCCGCGGCCATTGTCGACCAATGCGACACGATTATTCACCGTTCTCCTCGATGTCTGACCTTTTCCACGTGATATTTATAAGATTTGCTACACGACGACCGTGACTTTAGGTGAGGTCGTTATGCAAATTACGCGACCTTACATTTATTATACCTGTTAAGTACCTACGTCGAATCGGTGTTTCGGCAGTATATAACGCTATTCGAAAAACGGACGGCGGTATGGATTAGCGTGTAAAATTTTCCAGGTTAAAAAAGTATTCGATCCTTTCAGATTAGTCTGAAAAAGATTCGAGAATCGATTGATTTTCGCTCTCGAAAAGTTTGATCAACGCTTTTTGGAAGAGAATTGTGATTGGTTGACAGTAAAATGTGACGTGTATCGTCCAATTAATCGAGTGAAATTTTTGTTAGCACGTTGGCAGGAATGCCTTTACATGAACAGGAAGGAAGTGGTCGTATTTCTAATATGGAAGAAGTGAGTCGTACGAAATAAAAATAATCGCGTTGCATGTTTGTTATGCCAAACGGATTTATGTTCAATTTTGTATAATTGTATAATTTTTCAATTTTGCATACTTGTTAACGAGATTATATTTATCTTTCGAATGAATAATAGCATAACTTTAAACAATATGGTAAATTTAACCTTTATATTTTGTAATCTTGCTTATAAACTTGATTATTTGATTGAAAAAATAACCTAGTTGTTAAAGTGTATCGATATATTTAAATATGATGAACAATTTAATTTTTAGAATTAAAATACTGCGTAATATAATTACGTGTCAACTTGTCGAAAACACTTATTCGATCGAAATGTGATCAATTTTTCGATAATCGTTCGATACCAGCAGCTTTAACGGATTTAATTTATTATAGACATGAAATTGTCACGTGTTTAACAAGAACGATAACAGTGCGGATATAAGATTTGTGGCACAGTGGCTTGGATTTGCATATTGGGTCGATGTGATATCTTAATCGTGGTTTACAATAAATGTACCTACTTAAAAGTTGCGAATGAATCAATATTCACTTAGCATTCGAATCACGTATAACACTCGTGTTATGATCATTCTTCGAATGATCGCAAAACGTTTGAATAATTTTAATTTTTTTTTTTTTTTTATTGTTCAATGCATTTATGATCATTTCTAAAACTTTTTAAAAATAAACCTACGTAAAACGAGTACGCGTGCACTTGATATTACTTATAAACTCGACACGTGGCTATTATCGAGCAAAAATAAGCGTAATCATCGTATCACCGATAATAATCATTAAGACTATAAAAATGAATTACTGAATTTCGATTGTTTACTATCGATAATTGTATATTTACTAGTCAGATGATTAATGCGATTTCAATGACGTATGGTATATACACATCTTGATACATATCGCTTTTATCTTTCAGTTTCAAGTAGGGAATAAAATTTCAAGATTATGTATTTATTGCATCATTGTACATTTATTATTAGAAAATCGTTTAATTTAATCGTTTCTGCAATCAATTGAACATTATCGAAAGTCATTAAGTTTTTAGTTCTATTGGCGATTAAATTGCAAAGAATTGATCGTAGAACGTTAGAACGTGTTCTTGATGAAAAAGAAAAAATAACGACGATACACAAAGATTGATTCTCGGATCGATCGAATGTATGCCAAAATAATTTTTCTTCATCGAAATACGATCGAATTTACGATCAATTAATTTGGAAATATTTGTAATTCGATAAAAATTAATAAAACAAAATACTTTTCATGCTTTGAATACAATATCCATTGATTTTTCTCAATTTCAAATGTAAAATCTTCTTACATTGGAATAATTTTCTTTTCCTAGTCAATTTTGCGTCAACTTTACGACACGCTTGCTAGCGTGTTTTATCGCGACGATAAAAAAAATTCGTGACTCAGAAACACTTACTTTTCACAAGTTTTGAAATATATATATATATATATATATATATATTCG